GGGTGGGAGGTCGCGCTCCCCGCAGCCCCGGGGAAGGGGCGGGGGCGGTGACAGCTCCGGGTGTTGGAGGGTTCGCGGCTCGTCCGTGAGGTCCCGACGTGGGCGCGTGGGGCGTTCTGTGGATCCAGTCACGCCTGGGACTTGAACCCCAACAGTGCGACTGCCTGCCGCGGCCAGGAGCAACTTGTGGTGGGGACTTGAAGCTGTGCAGCGCGGAGGGAGGGCAGCGTCCGCCCGCGACGTCCAGTCCTGCCGCGTTGCCGCCTCCCTGCCGCGCTGTCCTGGCATCCCGGAGACACGCCACCGACACGGCCGGAGCCCTCGCCTCTGGCTCCGTGGACCGAAGTGTCTGCGTTCACCGTGCTCCGCGTTTCCGCCTTGTCCGCCGTTACCCTCGCGGGTGGACCCCTGCCACCGAAGGGGTGTGCAGCCGGCGATCGCCGGACCTCGGCCACCCCGGGCGTGGAAGCAGGGTGACCCTGAGGGTCAGCGGGGGGGGGGGTCGCAAGGCTGTCATCCGTGAAGAAAAGCCGTGGTCGCCGCCACCACACATTCTCCCCGTCAACGTTCTGCCCCCCGAAGTACTTAAGTAAAATGCATGGAAGCCTTCGGAGGTACTGTACTCAACCATCGCTGGGCTCTAGGCTTAAAGGTCAAGAGGACAACTTCTGAGAAGAGAAAGAAAATAAATCGAACTGTGCCCCTATTTTTTTTGTACCAACTCATCCATCTTCATAGATACGTGAACATTTGCAGTGAAGAAAGAAGTCGATCAATTGATTGATTGTTAATTGATATTGATTGGTTGATTGATATGATTGATTGCAGTGGTAGGAATTGAACCCAGGGCCTTGTGCATGCTAAACACATACTCCACCACTAACTGCATCTACAAACACTCAGAGAGTAGAATTTTGAAATAAGTTATATTAAAGCTGGGACGGTAAAATTGTGTATGATGTTAATCTACTTGAAAGCTATTTTTAAAAGGACATTTCTGACCTTCACAGGAATTGGAAGCTGTTAATATCCAGCAGCATCTGATTTAGTTTCATTCTTTTTTATGCTGTTACCATTCAATCAATCAGTTATGCATCTTGATTAATGTCAACCCTAGCCATTCTTTTATCATAAGATGGAAAGTAGATTCACTCCTGTATCCTCTTTTTAAAGAACTTCCTTTCTGTCCCTTCACTCTCCTCCTACTTTTTTTCCTTTCAATTCCCAGCAGAAATGTTAGCCTAGCCCAAATATTCTGTTCTTGCAAGATTTCCAGGATCTTGTTGGAGTAGTTTGCAACCAATCTCAGCTCATAATTGACTTCCATTTTCTTTTGGGGTTCTTAAAGAGATGCAGGTACACTTCTTAGAAGTAACTTGTCTAAAGGAATTCAATTGTGATTTTTTTAAACTGAGATTTAAGTATTTGTGTATGAATAAGAATAGATACACATTTACATATATTACACTGCATTGTATTCCTACCATTCTGCTGCTCTTTAAAAATAAAATTGTATTCCCTGCTTTAGTAGGGAACACATTTAAGC